CTTACTCGCGTCTTCGCATCAACAAGTAGTATTTATTTACTGCTGCATCTCATGGTTTTTTGCAGAAGCTAGATCCCAGGCCTTCAACTTCGCGAGCTCGCTACGCGCCACGTCCCGCTCCTAAAAAGAACGCGCGCGGGGCAGCTTAGGGCTTAGGATTTAGGGTTTAGGGTTTATAAGGTTTTCCCATTTGGGGTTTTGGGTTTAGAGGCTTTGACTAGATGCTCGATCTCGCACCAGCTCCTCGACCACCTGCTGCACCTGTTGGCGCAATGCATTGACTTGAACGTCCACCTGCGACAGCAGCAGCCATCTGATGTCTCTCTGACCTCGCAAAGCTGACCGGAAGTGAAGTCGCGCCTCGTTCTGTGAGTCCTGACAAACTCAAGCTGAATTACCTCCTTGGTACAATATGATTCTTTTCACGGCTCCTTTCACGGCTCTAGCACTCAGCACACTAACTTCAGAAGCTCCTTGTGCAAGCGATTCGGCTTCGCTGGCCCGTGAGGGCTCAGGAATCTGGCCTTGACCAATCACAACAAAACCCAACAGCTGCGCATGATGCACTTGCTAATCGGGGGAGCTTGGGCTTGAGCGCTCCGAACAATACGGGCTTTGCCATCGTCTGACCACTGAGGATTTTCGACATGACACCGCAATACAATGTCGGCAAACAGGTTTGGCGATCGCATTTTGGACCAGCTGGTGTATGGAATCATGAGGAGGACGGAGTTCGTCAGACACTTGCCCCTTTTCTACGTTCCCATCCGACCGTGCATAACCGGGTACGGATCTCCAGAAAGTGAAAGAAACCAGCAGAAACGGCTTACTGCAGCCGAGAAGGTCTAGGATGCCGACAGGATCCTGCAGTAAGTCTGCCTGTCAAGGATGTACTTATTCATTCACACCCCACACACGTTGTGGATCGAAGGCTCTGAAGTGTAAAGGTGCCTTCTGCGCAGCCTCCATGGCCTCGAGCCAGAATCTCAACTCACAGGACCTGGGCAGCAGAAACGGCCAAGGGCTGAGGTGTCCAGGGACAGGGGTCGCGGATTTTGGCTACGACACTACGACGCGCACTTTGGCTTACTGACAGTACTCTCTGCTACATGCCTTGCCGCGACCCCACTCGGGTGCTGACATAGGCGGCCTCGGTTGAACAGGGACTGGCCTGGCGCTTTTGTGGCCAGTTGCTGCCACGGCACAGCGGCGGCAAGACGTTGGATGTCACAGGTCGCCAGCTCACGCTGGCCTGTACAAGCAATGCAACGACACATCTTGTTTGCCTGAAGAATCGAAAGTGCCTCCGAGACCTCGGTGTGTATCGGTGTCGTGTCCATCATCGTTCCTGCCTTGCTCAGAACTCTTTTTGGCAAGCTTCGGTAAGTCGCAGGCTTCTTGCATGCTGCAGAGCCGCCGGAGTGACGCAAGCAGAGCCGTAGGCAGGGACTGACTTCCATGACCAAGCATCATCAGCCGGGCTGGATGCATCATGATCTGGAGGCGGTGGAAGAACCATCGGCCTGGAAAGATGCACTGAATGCAGGAGCATGGGCATGAATGAT